GGCTGGTGTTTGGTCAGTAGGAGGCAATAACATGTAGATTAAAATGCCCTCAGCTGTCTGGCAGCAAGTAATCATCTATGCAAATCTTTAGGTGTGGGGAAATGCCCTTAGCCATTTCCAGCAGGCAGTCCTCAAGGGTCCATCAACCTTTTGATGAAACTTCTTGCATTTATGACATGGTGGAATTAGCTTGGCAATAACACATCCTTGGAATGTCAGAATGTCAGAGTCATCCCCTTCTCCAGACCCCTTGGTAGTACAACCTCCCACCAGGGCATGAGACCACAGAACCCCTCATTGTTGCCCACATGGCATCTCTGTGCTGTAATGTATTAACTATCCTGTACTTGCCGATGTAAAAGAAGTGTCTCTTCGTTTGACTTTTTAAAAATATATATGTTTTTATTGATCTTAGAGAGGGGGTGAGGAGAAACATTGATGAGAAAGAGGTTGGTCAGCTGCCTCCTGTACTCTCCCTACTGGGGATCGAGCCTGCAACCCGAGCATGTGCCCCGACCAGAATCGAACCCATCTCTTGGTGCACGGGATGACACTCACCCAGCTGGGCCACACCAGTGGGGCTCGGCATTTGACTTTTTATTCAATCTCAGAGATTTCCCCACTTTACTTTCTCCCGCCTCCCTGATCTGTCATCAGTGGATTTCATGTAACCCCCTTATGTCTCCTGTGATTCTAATGTATATAATAATCCCTAACTAAAAGTGAGTCACGGCAGGTAGTCACGGCCTAAGCCTGTCAGACTGCCATTCTCTGGAGCATTTTCTCAATCCATTGAGATATTGCTTCCTGGCAGTTGTCATCAGTTTGGCTCAAATAAACTCACAAAAATTCTCTACAGGTTTGGATGTTTCTTGGAGGTCAACTATCTCTAGAATGTACCATATAAGGACATGGCTTAGGTAGTGAAAGACTTTCTCACATTCGCAGTTCTTCTGTTGAAATGTGGCTTGTTAAAATCACAACTTCTATTCTTACAGTAGTAAAATATTTATCCTGTAAGGCTAAGCAAAATAGCACATTTACTTAATTACATATTGTAACGTGAGGTAATTGATGCCTTTCTGCTACAAATAAAAACGGATTTATGCACACAATAGCACTTTAGCTGACATGCACAGTTGCATGGTGGATCTCAATGCTGACTAAATTGACAGCTTTAAACTGCCTATAACTCAGGAGAATGGAGGCCGTTTGCATGCTGACTCCTGCCAGCATTGAATTTGGCTGCTCTATTCAGTGAGACTCTTTGTCTCTCGTTTTATGAACTAGCCCTCCAAAGGTGTTAGCCGTTTTTTCTGAAATCTACCACCAAAAATCCCTTTCAGTGTGCTCAACCCCTGCGGATTTTTATGGTCACCAGGCTGGTCATTTTCATCTTTATGTTCAGTAAATTACTAGACGTGTTGGGTTACTGCCTTACCTGATTCAGAACGAGCTCATGGCTATGTGATCTTGCATTTCCTTCTGCTGCTGGAGTGTCATGACATTGTGTCAGCTCTGCCACTCTGGCCAAGTCACACGTGTCTCAGAATTCATGCCCAGTTTGCCCTGGTGAAGGGCCTTGCAAGACAGTATTTGTTGAATTCCAGCGGCATTCTGGCCTTTGCTTTGGGGAGGCTTCAGTCTGGAGATGGGAGTCATTCTCCTGAGCTCACCAGAAAACGCCCAGCAGTGGGAAGCCTACAGGACCGCACTGTGCTCCTCATTTAAGGAATTAAAACCGGGCATGTTCTGTCATCAGCCCAGCGGTGGGCGGCGGGTGGAGTGGTCCGGCTGAGGTCCCAGCTGTTGGAAGCCTTTGTGACTGGCGTGACCTTTTTGAATCAGAAGTGAAGCTTTCTCTTTATTTTGGGTCATTTGTTGACCAATCTCTGTGCTCTGTCCTACTGTGTCTTTTACCTAAAGAGAAGGAAAGAAGGGTTAGGACAAATGGGCAGAAAGCATTCAGTGCTGAAAAGAGTGTCATATCACTGCTTTTCTCCTCCCATCTTTCAGTTCTCCATGAATTTGACATTGAATATTGATAAAATGACCTCCACAGTCAAGGGAAGGTAAGTACTAAAGCAGCAGAATGAAGGAACTCAAGAGCTCTTGGAAGATGCCTGTGTCCGCAGACGCATCTGAGAGCCACAGTCCAGCGGCTCAGGAGGGCCACAAGCACCTCCACGTCTGAAACTGTGTTTTTACTGACTTCAGAGAGGAAGGGAAAAGGAGAGAGAGAAACACCAATGATGAGAATCATTGATCGGCTGCCTCCTGCATGCCCCCTACTGGGGATCAAGCCCGCAACCTGGGCATGTGACCTTGACCAGAATCCTGGGACCCTCCAGTCCGCAGGCCAACACTCTATCCACTGAGCCAAACTGGCCAGGGCTCCACGTCTTGTTTCCTTCCAGGATGCTTCTTGCCTAAGCTTGAGCCTCAAGGAAAGGCCTCCTCTAGTTGTTGGGGAAGGAAAGGTTTACCAAACTGAGAGAGGGAAGGGAGATGAATAAAATAGTTGAATACAGTGATTAAGAACATGGGCTTTATAAACTGATGAACGGAGTGGATCCAGAGACATGGAAGCATGGAACAGAGTGCGGAATCTCGGAGGGAATGTGGGGGAGGGTGGGAGGTAATCAACGAAAGACCTTGTATGTACATATGCATAACCCATGGCCACAGACAATAGGATGCTGGGGGCGGGTGGAGGGAGTCAATGGGGGATAAAAGGGGACACGTAATACTTTCAACAATACAGAATTATTTTTAAAAATTTTAAATTAAGTAAGTACGTAATTAACAACTAAAAAAACAAGAGCTTTAGCCCCACCAGCATGGCTCAGTGGTTGAATGTCAACCTATGAACCAAGAGGTCACGGTTGGGTTCCTCGTCAGGGAACATGCCTGGGTTGTGGACTCAGCCCCTAGTGGGGGGCCTGCAGGAGGCAACTGATGGGTGATTTTCTCTTTATCATTGATGTTTCTACCTCTCTCTCCCTCTCCCTTCCTCTCTGAAATCAATATAAAGATATTTTTTTAAATAAAGAACATGGACTTTAGAGTTGATGGCCTGCAGCTTGATTCTTGACCATGCTGCTTGCTGGGTGGGGGCCTTGGACAAGCTGTTGAACATTGAGTCCAGTTTCTTCACCTGTGACCTCTTCGTGTGGTTGTGAGGATTGCAGAGAGCATTCCTGTAGAGCACACAGCCAGGCTCAGTACATGGGCCATTATTAGGAGGCCAGGTTGGGGGGAGCTCCATCCTCCACCCCTGAAAGGCTTCTAGCGGGGTTCTTGTTTTAAAAGCTTTGTTTATGAAACAGCACTTCAGCTCTGCAAATGGCTCTCGCCAGCCAACCAAGGCCAGTGGAAGGGCTGCAGAAGGAGGAAGTATGAAACAGTAAAGGCCGAGATCCAGGCAGTGGGAGCGATCCCGGCAGGAAACACCACTTCCCGTCTTCAGGGTCCCGTTGAGCTTCTCACTGCCGTTGTCAGCACCGGGGACTCGGGGGGGAAAGGGCACCCAGTTGTCAGATGTGCTGAGATTCATTCATTTATTTTGGTTAATCCTCACCCGAGGATATTTTCCCCATTGCCTTTTCAGAGACAGTGTAAAGGAGGGAGGAGGGAGGAGGAGAGAAAAACATTGATGTGAGAGAGAGACATCGATTGGTTGCCTCAAGCACACACTTCAGCCAGGGCTTTGACCAGGCTCTGGGAACAGCTGAGCCCTGTGCCCCGGCAGGGGAGACCCCCAGACCTCTCACCGCAGGGCTCGCAGGCAGCTCCATCCCTGTGTCTGTGCCGCGGCCCTGTCTCCCGCTCCCCCTTCCCCGGGCTCCTCTGCAGCGACAATGCAGCAGGCGCACCAGGCAGGCTGCTTGGTGGGAAGCGCAGGCTACAACGTGACACGGGGACTCCCCACCACCTGGCCGAGCCCCAGCTGCAATATGATGAGGGGGCTCCCCAGCCCGGGCCTTCCCCCTCATCATGAGTCCAGCCTGGGCCTCCGCTTCCTGGAGCACCTGGGTTGACAGGAACCGACAAGTAGGTTGTGGTGCCCATATTCTAGATGCCAAAACTGAGGCTCGGAGGGGAGCAGAGGTCCCTACTCCCAGGCCGCCTCCCCCTCAGCTCAGCCCAGCTCACAGGCGGCTCTCCTAGCTGCCGCCTGGTTGCTATGGTGGTGGAGGAGGAGGAGGCTGCCTGAACATTTGAAAGAAAACATTTAATTCAAACAGGGACCATCTAGCTCCTGTTCCCATCACCGGGGCCCCTCATTGCATCACTGCAGGATTCCAGAGGCCCAGGGACCCGAACTTGAATCGGGTCCCGGCGCCCCCTCCATCGCCGCTGTGGGCAGGATGCTGTCCCACAGCCTCAGCTCTGAATGACCGGGGGCTCGTGATGCCCATTCGCACTCAGTGGGCTGTGTTTTGTTGCGTTTTTGTTTTTGCAGGAAGGGAATACACCTCTCGGTTACAGCAGTGACCGTTACCTACGTAACTTTATTGACATCAGGCCTCGATGCCGGACACCTGGGGCACGGTGTGGTCTCTCCCCTCGCGTCCTTACTCTCAGTGGCAGCATTTTTTAAATGACAGTGGAAGTTAAAAGGCAGGAGTGGGTTAATGATGACAAGGCCACTGCACAAGCCATGTCTAGGACATAGTAAACTTAAAATTGACACTTCAGAGAACAGGAAGGGATACTGGGCTGAGCTGGGTGGGAGGGCTGGCCCCGTCACCAGTGGCCAGGCCCTCGGGGCTGCGGCCAGGCCATGGGTCAGAGAAGACAGCAGCTGATCCCCTAAGTGAAGCCCGGCAGGCAGACTGGTGTAGTCGTGGTGAGAGTCGACGTGTGGAGTGATGTATACTTCCGTTCCCCCGACCAATCCCTCTCTATTTCATCACTGATGAATCTGTGTACTAATTAATAGCTGCTACTTCATATTCAGCAGCTTAAGCTGCAGCTGAAAATTACAGCAACCGAGAATGAGTGATGGCCCAGATACACCAATTACGTCTCCTGGGAAGTGCCCAGGATCTGTAGACCATTTTCTCTCCTCCTCCGTCGCCTTCCCCGGGTGAGTAAGTTTGCTCTAATCACTTTTGAGGAAAGCAAGTTCCGTAGTCATTCGAGCAGCTGGGGGTTCTTTAGCGGAGAGCCAGGGTAGGGTTGGGTGCGGTCTCCGGACCCCTATCCTGTACAGTGGTTGCCCCAGGAGTCTTTCCATTGTAATGGGGTACACATTCCACCCACACTCGCTCCGGAAAGCTCCAGGAGGAAAGTGATTGCATCAGTGAGAAGAACTTGCAGGGGCGGGGGCTGGGCTCGCAGATTGGCTCCAGCGATGACCCAGGACTCGGCCTCTCCATGTCTGAGCACCGTTCTCTCATTCCTCGGCTCATCCAGAAGCCGCCTTTCTCTGCAGCTGCAGAATCAGCAGCTCTGGGCTTGCAGGATCCTCAGCGCTTGAGGCCCCGAGGGAGAGAAAGTATCTTTCTCCCAGGGCCCAGCTCTGCCCGGCTGCCGTGCCCTCCCCTGCCCCATCAGGTACCACGGCTGTGCGCTGCCCGGCTGCCTCCTGAGCCCGCCCGGCTGGGAGAAGCCAGACAGCCAAGCAGGACTGCAGAGTGGACGAGGGAGGAGCCTGAAGAGGAAGCAAGGCCAGGCCTGCACGCAGGAGGCCAGCTCTGGCCTCAGGCGAATACGCCTTAGCGCCCACCCGGAGGACGATGACCGGAAGTCCCCTGGCCCTGGTTCCCTGCTCTTCCCCCTGCACTCACGGGAGCTGTCGGTGCTGTGTCTCCCTGTCAGGTGTGAGGTGGGCACTGCTCCCTCTGTGTGGGTTTTGTTACCAGAACTTGGACATAAGTTCAGAGCCAGACCTTGAGATTTTTAAAGTCTTGTTTTATTCTTACTAGAGGCCGGGTGCATGAATTTGTGCACCAGTGGGGTCCCTCAGCCTGGCCTGCGGGATTGGGCTGAAACCAGCTCTCTGACATCCCCCGAGGGGTTCTGGATTGCGAGAGGGCACAGGCCAGGCTGGGGAACCCCACCGGTGCACGATCGGGCCGGGGAGGGACCACAGGAGGGCTCCAGGGTGTGTGGCCCATCTTGCTCAGTCCCCAATCGGCCAGACCCCAGCAGCAAGCTGACCTACCAGTCAGAGCGTCTGCCTCCTGGTGGCCAGTGCACATCACAGCGAGCGGTTGAGCAGCCTTAGCATATCATTAGCATATTATGCTCTGATTGGTTGAATGGACAACTTGACGACCAGACACTTAGCATATTAGGCTTTTATTATATCAGATTATTTCTTGTATGTTCATTATAGACAATTTTAGAAAATGCAAAAAACTAGGGAAAAAATTCACTCTGAAAGGTTGCTACAGCTGGTAGGTGGTGTATTTCCTTCTTTTTACCTGGGTGAGCTTAAGCTGTTTGTATAACTTGGAACCTGCTTTTCCCCCTAAAAATCTTAACTTCCTCAGGTTGCTGCCTTGATGACCTGCGTGGAGCTGGCCTGGAGCTCCTTGGTCCCGAGTGGAGCGAGTGGAGCCTGGGCCTCGGGACAGACTGCCGCCCTGCTGGGCTGAGCTCTCCCAGGAGGGCCAGGGGACCCTCCCGGGGGGAGAGAGAGACGGGCAAGGAGCCAGGCAAGTCCTGACTCTCAGACAACCCAACTCTTGCAACCCCGACACTTCTTCAAGACCCCCCCCCCCCATCCTGTGCACACAGCATCCTGTGTGTGCAACAGCCAGCAACAGCCCCACGGTTTGGCTGCTGCCTGACTGCACTGCTCCTGGCGCAGTTGTCGGTGAAGCGGGAAGCGGAGGCACATCAGCCCGGGCCGGTTCCTCTCGCTGGCTGGCTGGTGGCCCCCAGCAGAATATCAAGTCCCTTTGCTGGTGCGTTCTGCTTCTTGGGGTCCCCCTGCCTCACCAGGAAGGACTTGTGAGGCAGCTTCTGAGTGTCCCACGGTCTCCTGGCCCCACTGTGGTGAGTCCCGAGCAGTGGCTCTGCTCCTACCTAGCCCAGTTACAAAACGCCCACTGTTTACCCCGGCAGGGCGCTGAGCGGGCCGGGGGCTATTCCCTCCGTGTGGAAAGCCACGCTCAGGAGTTCAGGCTCAGAAATGATTCACTGGCGTGGTTCCCTGTTGCTCTTACAGTGCATGGTGCGGTCACACACACTCTATAAGGGAAGTGATTTCTCACCCGATAGGTCACAATAGCTCTCCAGAGTGAGAGCTTGTG